TCGGGAGGCTGAGACAGGAGGATCACTGTGAGTTCAAAACCAGCCTGGGCTACATAGTGAGTTCCAGGTCAGTCTCAACTACATAGTGAGATCCTGTCTCAAAAAACGAAACAAAAAAAATCACATGGCCCTTTCAATATTTGAACTGCTAGGCAATGACAACTGTAGTTTTATTTTGTCCTTTTTCAATCTCATAGAAATAAAGGACACTTTAATATGTAAATATAGTAATTAGCTAACACTGTTATTTAATGCCAATTTAGGTTGCAGCTGTATCCCTGGAACTATTTAAAGGTGCTCCCTTCACATTGCCTGTGTAATGCTTTCTAAGGTTTATATACATCAGATGTATATTTTTGGTTGCCATAAAGTACTATTGTGATTTTTCTTTTTGGTTCATAAAGAATTTTCTGATGGAATGGTAACTTCTCAAGGACTGTGAATAAACACATTTTTACATTTTAAAAAAAAAAGATGAGATCCCAATTGTTCCAACTGTTAGTTCTTTGTGCTAGTTCCCCTGCTGCTTAGGATTTGTTCATAAAATCTTTTCCTATGCTGGTATCTTCAAGAGTTCTACTTAACTTATCTTCCAGCAAATTTCATGTCTCTGTTTTAATATTTATATCTTTAATCCACTTAGATTTTAGTTTAGTTTAGTGAAAGATTTGGGTCTAGTTTTAATCTTTGACATGTTAAAATCAAGTTTTTTGAACACCATTATTAAAGAGGCTATCTTTCCTCATGAGAGGGTATTTGGCTCCTTTGTCAAAATTCAGGTGGGTGAGTGTGTCAGAAGTTGTTTCTGCATCTTCTAATCTATTCTACTTATCCTGGGGTCTGTTTCTTTGCCAATACCATGCTGTTTTTGCTGTAGTGGCTTTGTAGTATAGGGGATTGTGATACCCCCTGCCATGTCTCTATTGCCTAGAATTGCTTTTGCTATTCTAGGTCTCTTCTAATTCCAAATAAATTTTTTTATTGTTTTCTCTAGTTGTGAAATATACTGTTGGGATTTCGATAGGGATTGCATTGAATCTGTACAGCAGTTTTAAAAGTATGGCCATCTTCACTATATTGATTCTTCCTACCCAGGAACAAGGGATGTCTTTCCATTTTCTTATATCCTCTTCAGTCTCTTTTTTCACAGTGTTATAGTGTAAGATCCTCCCAGGGAGGAATCCCACCACTCTAAGTCCGGGACGCCAGGATGCACCATAAACACCCCGGAGAGACGATTCTTGATGCAAAACACAAGAGGTCTTTATTCCAGCACGCTGGGGCTCAGCTCATAACCCTCGCAGGGGCAGAGGAGTTGAGCCCCGAAGCAGGGTAGATACACAGTTTTTAAAGAAAAAAACCACAAGCTATAGGGGAGGGGGAATTCCGAGAAAGGGGAGGGGGGACTTCGGTGGGGGATCATTTACGGGAATGTGTAGGGCTAGGTCAGGTTGTTCCGTACCAGATGTTTATCTTGGTTCCTGTTCAGAAATGGTTAACGTGACCTTCCGGCCTGTCATAGTTAGCTGACTCTGCTAGGGGTTCGGCTACTGGAGCTTCTTGAAAACTTTTCTAACAATAGTTCTCAATGCAGAGGTCTTTTGTTTCCTTTGTTAGACTGATTCTTAGATATTTCATATTTTTGGATGCTATTGTGAAAGGGATTGTTTCCCCAATTTCTCTCTCAGTGAGTCTGTTATTTATGTACAAGAAGGCTATTGATTTTTTAGTATTTACCTTGCATCCAGCTACTCTACTGAATCTGTCAAACAACTCTAGAAGTCTTCTGTTGGAGTTCTTTGGGTCTTCTATGTAGAGTATCATATCATCAAATAATGACAGTTTAACTTCTTCCTTTCCTATCTTTATTGCTTTTAATTCTTTCTCTTGTCTAATTGCTGTGGCTAATGTTTCCAAAACTATATTGAACAGGAATGGTGATAGTGGACATCCTTGTCTTGTTCCTGAATTTAGTGTGATGGTTTTCAGCTTTTTTCCCATTTACTATGATGTTGGCTGTTGGCTTTCATACATAGCCTTTATCATCAAGTTGAGATAAACACCATCTGTTCCAATTTTCTGTAGGGTTTCTATCATGAGTAGGTGTTGAATTTTGTTGAATGCTTTTTCTGCATCTATTGAGATGATTGTATGGTTTTTGTCCTTGATTCTATTAATACAGTGTATTAAATTCATTGATTTATGTATGTTGAACCATCCTTGCATCCCTGGGCTAAATCCAACTTGGTCAGGGTGTATAATCTTCTTGATCTCTGTATTCTGTTTGCCAGTATCTTCTTGAGGATTTTTGCATCTATATTATCAGGGAGATTGGCCTGTATTTTGGTTTGGTATGTCCCTGGTTTTGGAATCAAAGTAACACTTGCTTCTATTAATGAATTTGGAAGTATTGCTTCTCTTTCAATTTCACTGAAAAGTTTAGAGAGTAGTGGCAATAGTTCTTCTCTAAATGCCTTGTAGAATTCAATCTGAACAAAGTATCAAAAAAATAAGTTCTCTTATTAAAAATAAGTTCTTCTTGCTTTGTCCTTGCTTCCCAAAATGGGTTCCTCCATCCAGAAACTGAATCTCGAATTTCCTGCGTACGCCTGAAGCCCCAGACAGAAGCAGGTAAGAAAGGCTGAGGATTTGGCTTAGTGGTTCCGGAGCCTACCTCGCAAGCACAAGGACCTGAGTTTGAACCCTGGTACCGTGAAGCCATCAGGACTTGGGCTTTTCTTTGTTGGTAAATTTTTAATTACATTTTCAATTTCACTGATTGTAATTGGGTAGTTTAGAATTTTTATATCTTCTTTGTTCAACTTTGGTAATTCATGTGTATCTAAAAAATCTGTCTATTTTTCTGTGTTCTGCATTTTATTAGAGTACAGGTTCTCTAAGTAAGTATTGATGATCCTCTGGATTTCTGGTGGATCTTTTGTGACTTCATTCTAATTTGAGCCTTTTCTTTCATTTTTTTGATAAGGTTGGCTAAGGGTTTATCAATTTTATTTATTCTTTTGAAAAACCAACTATTCAATTTGTTGATTTTTTTTGTATCATTCTCTTAGTCTCCACTGCATTGACTTCTGCTCTGATCTTTATAAATTTCTCCCTTGTATGAGCTTTCAGTTTCTCTTGCTCTTCTTTTTCTAGTAGCTTAAGATTCACCATTAGGTTATTTATTTGAGCTTGCTCTGTTTCCCTAGTGTGAGTATTCACTCCTATAAATTTCTCACGTTAAACTATTTTCATTGTATCCCATAGATTCCTGTACATTATACTGGCATTGTCATTAAACTGTAAAAAACTGTCTTCTTTAATTTCTGTTGTGAGGCCCCCGTGAGGGAGGTTGGGCAGAGCACCCCCCCACACCCCAGCGGGGACTGGCGAGTGCAGGGAGGGGGCCGAGAGGGCGGCAAAGCCGGCTGGGTGGCACCCCAACCCCCACCCCAGCCCCGGCTGGGGGCGGAGGGCAGGTTGTCCCTGGGCCAGAACAGCCTCTGTAAGTGGCAGTGGGGGAGGCCGCTGACGAGGCTCCCAGGGGAGATGGAGAGGAAGAAGTCAGACTGCCTGGGGATACAGGCTACCATACTGCCATAATTAAATACAATATACAATATATGTCAAGTTTGTTAATACTGTGCTGTAGTCAACCTCCATGTGAGCATGTACAATGGCCCACGTGCAGAAAAAGGTTGAAAAGAAAGGGAGCAAAAAGGAGATGATTATGGTGGAAGTTAAGGAAATAATCAAAAGTACAATCAGAAATTGCAAGGTTTTATAAGAAATATACATTGACCATTTGTACTGTGTTAAAGAAGAAAGAAAGGCCGGGTGTGGTGGCACATGCTTGTAATCCCAGCACTCAGGAGGCTGACACAGGAGGATCACTGTGAGTTTGAGACCAGCCTGGGCTACATAGTGAGTTCCAGGTCAGTCTCAACTACATAGTGGGAACCTGTCACACACACACAAACAAAAAAAAAAAAAAAAAAAAAAAAAAAAAAGAAGAAAGAAAAAGTAAAGGAACTAGATGCAGCAAAAAAAGTCACAAGAATATCAAAAGCATCAGCCACGTATTCTGGAAGAAGCAGAAAAATCGCTTCTGGTTTGGATAAACAAGAAGCAAACAGCAGGTGACACTGTGACCTAGGAGTATCTGTGAGAAGGCAAAGGCAGTGTCAGTACACTGCCAGGTACAGCAACAGAAAACAGTTCCTATGCATGCAGGGGATGGTTTCAGGATGTTAAGAGGATGGCTTCCATAGCATAGTGAGGCAAGGAGAGACTGAGTTTAGACACTAAGGCAGCTGAGGCAACCACAACTGAGTTTTAGAAGCTCCTGGTTTCTGAGTGTTACTGCTGGAGCAATTTTTTCCCCCAGTACAGGGGATCAATCTCAGGACCTTGCACTTACAAGGAAGGCAATGTGCCACTGAGCTATATCCCCAGGCCCGGAGCAAATTTTTACCTGAAACGAGGTGGTCTTTTTTGGAAAGAGATACCAAAGAGGACCTACATTATAGAAGAGAATGCAAGCCTGGTCACAAGCGCAAAAAAGACCATCTCACCCTCTTGTGCTAATGCAAGCAGGGATTTCAAAGTCAAGCAGCTCCCTGCCTGTGTATCATTCCAAGATTCCACAAGCCTAGATGTCAGAAGTAATACTTGGTAGAACAGCCCTGGCTCACAAAAACGTGTGGTTTGGGAAGAGACAGGATGAAAGTATAGAGAATGAAGAATCTTTGATCCCTGCAGGGCTCACTCTAGAGTGGCCAGGCCTGGGTGACCTTCTTGCTTTGTCCTTGCTTTCCAAAATGGGTTCCTCCATCCAGAAACTGAATCTCGAATTTCCTGCGTACGCCTGAGGCCCCAGACAGAAGTAGGTAAGAAAGCCTGAGGATTTGGCTTAGTGGTTCCAGCGCCTGCCTCGAAAGCACAAGGACCTGAGTTCGATCCCTGGTACCGTGAAGCACAGAAGCAGGTAAGGGACACAGCAGGCACACAGCAGGCTGCCCCACGTCCAGAACACGGTCTGCTTCTACTACGCAGAGGTGAGGCTCAGCGAGGTCTGCTCAACAACCCTACCCACCGGGCTGTCAATCAGACGAAGGAGGACGGGCCCTGCGCAGCACCGCCGGAAGACGAGGGACCACGCTACGTAAGGGCGCGTGACGTCACCGTGCGCTGCCGCCGCCGCCGCCGGCTCCCAATCTCCGGTTGCCCTTTGACGCCCTCCCGTGGCGGCTCTTAGTCTCCGTCGACCCGGCCAGAGCTGTGAGGAGGTCTCGGGAGCCAGGAAATGGTGAGTTCCGGTACGGCCGTTCCAGGGCTGGTGGCAGCGCCGGTCTGGGTCGCCCTCGGTTCTTGTCCCCTCGGCCGTGGGGGTCGGGCCGGAACCCGGGTCCGGTCGGTCCCTGCGCAGCGACGCGGGCCGGTCCGGAGACCTCTCTGGGCAGCTCCGCCGCAGCCCTCGTGTCCCCGGCCTGTGCGGGCGGCAGAAATCCCCGGTCCCTACACTGAGCCCAGGGGCGACCGTGGCCCCCATCCGCGTCCTTCCCCGCAGTTCCAAATGTCATCTTTCCCTCTCCAATTCGAAACGTCGTTAACCTTGCCCTCCGTGGTGCACTTGAAACACTCGCATTTATTTTATTTTTATTAGTCCGTGTTTGCAGTACCTGCTGATTACATTCGTGGTGGGGATCTGATGCATGTGCGCGATACATCTTTTCTTTCTTTTTGAAACCTGTTCTCACTGTGTAGTTGAGACTGACCTGGAACTCACTATGTAGCCCAGGCTGGTCTTAATACAGCGATCCTCCTGCCACAGCCTCTCCAGTGCTGGGATTACAGGCGTGCGCCACCACGCCCAGCTCTGCATGATACATCTTAATTCTTTTAACACACGCCCGCCCTCTTTGGTCTCCTTCCCATTTGCTTCCTGGTTTTTTGTTGTTGTTGTTGTTGGTTTTTTTTTGGTTTTTTTTTTTTAAACCAGGGGATCGAACTCGGGACCTTGCTCCAGCCCTTCCTTCCCATTTGCAAAGGCTCTGTCTTCCTGTTTGCTATCATCTGTCTTTTATTTTGCTCTATATTTACTTTGAGTTTCTCATATAAGAGAAACCATGTATTTTATTGGTATTTTGTTTTTTGTTGGGGGTGGGTGTTGTTTTGTTTTTGAGACAGTCTTGCTATGTCTGCAGGCTGGCGTTGCACTCATATGTAGCCCAGGCCAACCTCAAACTTGTGGCAATCCTCCTGCTTCAGCTTCCTGAGGGCTGGGATGACAAGCATGGGTACTAGCCTAGCTACTGGCAGTATTTTAATAATTATTTTCCACAGAGCCATGGATATCTCTTTTTAAAAGATTTGTTTCCTGCTTGTGGAAATTTTTTCTGAGAGAGAAGCTGAAAATAAGCATCTCAAGGGGTGGGGGATTTGGCTCAGTGCTTCTGCTGCCTGCCTTTCACAAAGGCCCGAGTTTGATCCCCCGTACCAAAAACAAAACAAAACAAACAAATGAACATCTCAGGCTCCATTGTATATAGTCTTTGTACCTCTCTCTGTGTTTCTTTCCTGAACAGACATCCTGAGGGACTTCTTTGGCCTGAAGTTCCTCTGCAAACTTTCCTAGATGACCTGTGCTTGAAAACAGCTCTAGGTCAGCACCTGCTTGGCTCTGTGACCTGGCAGATATTTATTCTCTTGAGTCTCATTTTGTTCAATAGATGTAAAATTTCTGGAGTGAGTAGAGCTTGGAAGACAGTGTGATATAGGTCCCAAGAGGCAAATCTATAGAACAATAACATATTCCGGGTAATGGGAGATAGCTTAGTGGTAGAACACTTGCTATTTTATGCACAACCCTGGGTTCAATACACCTGAAAATAAATACATTAAAAAAGTTTCAGTATTACATTGCATTTATTAAAAATTCGTGTTTCCAGCCTGGGGATTTAGCTTAGTGGTTCCACCACTTGCCTCTCAAGTGCAGGGTCCCAAATTCCATCCCCAATACCAAAAAAAAATCATTTTTCCATTTGTTCTTCTTAGCACGTAGGTTCCCAAAATCTGATCCAGAAAGTCCTACAACTTACCAGTTTGGTTGAACGTTGCTAAATCAGATTTGTTTGTAAGTCCAGCATAAAAAAAACACACACACACCAAAAATATACTGTAAGTAAACTATATTAACTTGTACATACCAGCAAATAGCAACATAACTATGACAATGTCCTGCAGACACATGAGCTACTTCCGTGATTTGTTTACATGTTCTAATGCAAGGTCTATTTGTATGTGTTAAAGTTTGCAATTCAAATAAATCAACCACACATGTAAATATGTTGTCTCTGGTGTGAGAGATTGAAAGTGTAAGTGAGGAACAAAAAGTATAATAGATATTGTGAAATAGGAAAAAATTATTCAGAATTATACTGAGTGTGAAATACTTTGTTAATAATTAAAATGTCTTATGCAAAAAAAGATATAGTATTATTAGAAAATGAGTTGAGATAGATTAGCAAGTGAAAATATATTCTTTAAGATCATAATACACAGTGTATTTACCATTGATATCTCTATTTTTCTCATTAAAGCCTTTCTCAGAGAACATCTTTTTTTGGTTTCTTTATTAATATCTATTTGTCTTACATTAAAATTAAAGGAGCCTGGTGTGGTGGTGCACACATGTAATCCCAGCACTCAAGAGGCTGAGGCAGGAGGATCACTGTGAGTTTGAGACCAGCCTGGGCTACATAGTGAGTTCCAGGTCAGTCTCAACTACATAGTGAGACCCTGTCTCAAAAAAAAATAAAAATAAAAATAAACAAAAGTGAAAGGGCCAGGGATGCAGCTCAGCAGTGCCATGCCTGCCTGGCAAGAACAAGGTTCTGGGCCAGGGATTTAGCTCAGTGGTTCCAGTGCCTGCCTTTAAAGCGCAAGGACCCAAGTTCAATCCCCAGTACCAAAACAAAACAAACAAGCAAGCACAGGTTCTGAGTTAGATCCCTAGTACCAGAAAATAAATAAATAAATACTAAATAAAATAAAAAATTTTAAAAACAATAAAATTTGTGATTTGAATGTTTAAGTCAGGGACTTACTTTTTTTTTTTAGTTTTGGGTGCTAGGGATTGAACACAGAGCCTTTTGTGTGCCAGGTACACACTCTACCATTTAAGCTACACTCCCTTTTATTTTGGTGCAAGTCTGCCATAGGTTAGATCTGTAAGTGTTCAAATATGATGGACACTTTAAGAAATAGTTTAGCAAACCACTTTTTGCCATGGAAATCTTTAACTAACATCTTCATTTTCTGAAATCAATACAAATGTGTGAGTTTCTTCTCCCCCCACTACCACCCCAGGCCTTCACACTGAGCTCCATCGTTGGCCCTTTTTCATTTTTTATTTTGAGATTAGGTCTCATTGAGGCACTAGGTAGCCCAGGTTAGGCTAGAACTTGTGATCTTCCTGCGTTAGCCTCTCAGAGTGATAGGATTAGGCATGAGCCACCAGACCCAGCTAAGGCTACAGTTTGAACCTAGAAAGGAAAGTAATTAAAGGCCCTGTTGGTTCTTCCTGGAGATTCTTCCCTGAAGGTATCTCAGTACTCATAGCCCATTACAGAAGAGCCGTACTGCAAGAAGCTGCTGACACTGAAAGCTGGAGATCCACCTATATAATGTAGTTGGAAAGTGTGGGAGGATGAAGCCCTTTCTGAGGCTTTGGAGTTGTTTTGTTTTGTTTGATACTCATCTGCTTTGTTGCCCAAATAGGCCTTGACCCTCTTGCCTCAGCCTCCTGAGTAACTGGGACTTTAGGCATGCACCACCTTTTTGAGGTTTTATTTTTTTGTTTTGTTTTGTTGAGCTTTTTGCCTTTTTTTGTGTGTTTGTTTGTTTGTTTGTTTGTACCGGAGATTGAACTCAGATCTTTGCAGTTGCAAGGCAGGCCACCAAACCACTGAGCTAAATCCCCGGCCCTTTTTGCTTTTTTAAAATAGGGTCTCACTGTGTAACTCAAGCTAGCCTTGAACTCACTATAAAGTCCAGCCTGGCTTTAAACTTGCAGCAGTCCTCTTGCCTCAGCCTCCAGAGTGTTGTGATTACAGGCATCTGCCACCGCACCCAGAACCATTTTGAGGTTTTAATAGTGATTTACTTGGGCCTATTTTTAGACATGTTTGAGTTTTACATCTGTAATATAGACACATTTGTGCATTTTGAGAAAGTCAGTGAAGAGCAAAACTTGTGTTTTCTGTACTTACAGGAATGAATTTGGAAGCTCATTTGAGCCAGAACCTCAATCTTAATCTGGTGGACTTGGCCTGGGCTGTGGCTCAGTAGTAGAGCACTTGTCTAATGTGTAACGTGAAAGGTGCTAGGTTTCATTCCACTACTCCAAGGAAAAATAAAAATCTCCCGGAACTGGTGAAGTTTCCTCACTGGGGAAATGGGAGTCTGGAGAGGGATTGGGGCTCATGTAGTTGTTGCTCGGAGGCCCTGTCCTGCATCATGAGGGGCTGACCCAGCCCAGGGCACATACCTTTCAAACTGGGAGAGCCTGACTATACCAGAGCTCGGCGTTTTAGTTACTTTTCTCACTACTAGGACAAAATACCCAACATCCAAAGATAAAGGAGAAAAGGTTTATTTCACCTCACAGTTTATAAAGGTTTCAGGCCATACTTGGCTAATTGCAAAGCAGGGTGGCATGGCAGAGGGGTATTGTAAAGGCGAAACATCCTATGGCATGACAGGCAGGAAGGCAGCAAGCAGCAAGCCTGCCTTCTCTCTCTCCCTTTATATTCCATCCGGACTACAAATCTATTGATTGATACCACCACACACAGAGTGGGGCTTCCATTATCTACACCTTTAATTCTAGTATCACACCCTTAACGCACATTCACAAAACCTAATCTAGCCACCTTCAGAACTCTGCACCTATGAGCACGTGAGGCTTTGGGGAGACAGATGTAATCCATAACACTTAAGAAAGAATTTTTTTTTCCTGTTTCTATTACTGGGGATTAAACCCAGAACCTTCACAGTGAGCTGCTTATATTTTTCTTTTTTGCATTATTTACTTTTTTTTTTTCTTTTTATTGAGTTTATTGGTGCAATCTAGGTATACAATACAGTTACATTCATCATTGGGATTCTGTACCTTTACATAATAGGTCTTGATTCTCATTTTTTCCCCTTGTCCCTGCCCTCCCTTCACCCCCTCCTCCCCTCCCCATTTACAAACACTTTATTTCCATTTTTCAGTTTCTTATATTTTTTTCCTCTGCCTTATTA